AACAATCACGACGGTCCTCAGACATTTGCGTCTTTGTTCCACGATGCCAAATACCATTTTTCTAGCTCCCCACTCAATATCCAGTGTTTACATCAAATATCTGTTCAACTTTTTTCCTCCATCTTTTTTTTTCGGTTTCCGCTCCCCACTCTTACCATTGTATTGTTCGACCTTGAGTGAGATGCTGTCAGGCGCTTTTTTAGAACATAAGCGTTGCAGTTTCCCATAATCCACCGGGAGTGTTGAGGTGAGAGCTGTGGCCCACTAGCACTCTGAGTGGCTGGCAGCGGATCAAAAGCAAACGAGGTTCCTGAGCTCATTCCAATTATAACAGCACACACTATCAACTACAAATACAAACAGCACGTAAGTGATAGCGCTGGTGGCCTGGAGGACTGCTGCCAGAGAGCAGGCAGCATGCTAATCAGGATACCTCTTGCCATGGGCTATTTAGGGAATAGCCTCTTATCCCACCAATTCCCCATGCCTAAGCCAGGGAAACGGAAAAGAAAAAGGGGAGTGAATTCCCTAAGCGCACGGTCCAAGGACAAAATATAGAAAATGGATCTTTATCTTTGCTGTCGGCCAATATCCATATTAATTACGAAAAAACACGTTGGGTTTGTACTGAATAAAATATAAAGAGATTTGTCGAACACACACAGCTACAATTTATGACCACCCTCTAGAATTTCCTTTTCTCGTGTTAATTTGATCATCAAACAAGTTAAATAATCTCTTTCTCTCTCTCTCTCTTTTCTAATCTCACATAGGCTTGTGTTGACTTCACTAAGCTGGCATCGCACACCCTACCCTATGGTTTAACCTTTGCAAAAGCAGGATGTGGAAAGATCCTCAGTCATATGCACATCACTTCACACTGTTTGCTGCCATTAGTCTGATTATTCATAACAACATCTTCCCAAGCATCCCATTATAGTCGGCCAATCCGGGGGAAAGTGATTTATATCCGGTCGACTGTCATGGGGGAAGGAAGTGAGATGTTCGGAGAGCGGGTTCTGTGGCAACGCGCACGCTCCCCCACTCGCGCCGACAACCCCTCGGAGTTTGGCAACTCTCCAGAGCCATGCAGGGGCGGCGGAGTACAGCGGGAGCCTGAGTGAGAAGCACACATTGTGCACCGCGGGACCCCACCAGCCCCGGCCCGAAGGCACAACTCTCAAGGACATGGAGAACTGGGGCAGAGAACTTCCAGGCGTCCCACTGGTAGGGCAGACTGAGGGGGAAAAAAAGGAAGAAAAAAAAAGAGGGAAAGTTTCCAAAGTGTCTCTGTCTGTGTGAGCGTAGCTGGTGAAATGCGTTGTTAGGAGACATACATGCATTCTCTTGGTCGGTAAACACTAACAAGGCAAATGTTAAGCAAACAACGTTTAAATGTGGTCTACGGGTGAAACCAAACTGGATAATTTATACTTAAATAACATGTTGTGTCAAAATAAATAGGGTCAGGCCGGGGTCACGAGTCATAGGTGTGTTGTTGCATTGGAGATGTAGTTCAAATATAGGAATACCAGTCTAGGTTTTTACTAAAACCATGTCTGTGCACGTAGATGCATATAAGTGTGTTTGTGTTTCTATCTCTGTGAATCCAGACTCTGATCTCCTAGTCAAATATAATTACTGACTTCTATAACACCCCAGCAACTGATACATTTGAATCGATGGCTCAGAGAGCCTCGTGGTGTCCATGGAGGGAAGTGTAATTCTAGGTTTTGCAGACGAATAAAATTGCAATTTGAAAAATGGAATTTACAGTTTACTGTTGTACTAAATCCAAGACTTCTGGTACACAATACTTCAAACAAGGTGATGTTTACCGTTTGCAGCGAGCAGAGTGAAAGGGCGTGAAAATCTTCTGCATGTTTCTGTAAAATAATAACAGAAAATGATGTATCAGTTTTTTTCATACAAAGAGAATTGTACAGAGTAAAGAGGCAAAGTCTTTGACACCGCTGGAACAAGCATTGGAAGCTCTTTCCCTCATTGTCCTTCCAGTCAGGAGCTTAGGTTTTCTGCGGGTCAGCCCCCTCTCTCTCTACATCGGTGGGGGAAGGAACCACACGGATCTGAGATGGAGTACCCCCAACCAAACCTTACCACATCGACCCGTGCCACCATCCTGGGCCTCTAATGGAAGTCCCGGGCATCCAGACACCTCCCCCGCTCCGACACGGACGTCAAGTAGCGCTCTACTCATCATCGGAAGCAGCAGGCCTCACAGCCCTCCTTTTCTCTCCCCGGTACCGGCTTTGTGGGAGCATTGCAGGGCAGATGTGTCCAGATGAGCACGTTCTAATTTGCGGGCCCAGGTTAATGCTCCGCCAGAGGCCCCCGAGGATCAATAGCTTTATTTCCCTAAAACGCCAGCGTGGCGAGAACCAGCTCACGGGGCACTTTTAATACCGCCATAGTTCCAGTGACGACTGGGCCATATTGATTGTGCCCGCGTGGAACTACGTGCGCCTTCTGGGGAAGGATCTATTTGTGTCACCCTGGGCTGGGATGGGGGCTCCGCTGGAGGAGTGGAGAGCTCAGCCAATGGAGGATGCCAAAAACATCAAAACAGCCATGTTTACAGATTACCCAAAGGGAAAGCAAATTACAGCAATTATGCAGGCTGTGGGAATACTGATATCAGCATACCTGCTATTTCACTCAGAGACTACTTTTATGAGGCTAGAACACATACAAAACAGCACACTCAATTTGATTTGATGGCTCAGCCCTCAACAAACGATGGGATTTAAACAAAGCACCGCACATCAGATGCATGCAAAACAACGTGTGTCCAGGGGATCACCCCTGTTGGTGTATGTCAGGTCCAAAAAATATTTTCAGTTGTTTTTGAAAACTAGATGTGACAGTTTACACAAATATCTGTTGGGCGAGTATGTATCTGGCAGGGATAACGATGAACATGTAATATTGAACATCGACCATAGTTTTGTTTTTTTTTTCCAAACAATGGCAATTAATCTTTCTTTGTAAACACTGCAAATTGCTTTACAGAAAACTAATTTGCCCTCGCAGCATTTATCCCCATATATCAGTGCAGAGACGATGTACAGAGTCTTATCCAAATCACAGGCCTTTGTTTGCAGCTGTCGTGACACATTCATGACTGGGGCCATAATAGTCAGATTCCTGTTATATCCCCCGGGGAGAGCAGAGAGGATGGTGTCACATCCAATTACTGCGGCACACTGTAGAGGTAAATCATAACTTGTGCCATGAACTCTGGAATCTGAGGTACACACACACACACACACACACACACACACACACACCCACGCACACACACACACACTGCATAAGCATAGCGAGACAACAGTTATATCAACATTGATAGAATATTGGAAAACACATTCTGCTGGTAACTTGGAGGTCATGTATGGATTACACAGGGAAATGGGATTGGCTGGAGGCCGTTGGCCGTCTACTCAAAACATAAATTGACGCACATAAGATCTGGGAGCAAGTGAGGCAGACGGCACTTGCTCGAGATTTTTACAATCATGGATTTGCTCGCCAGCGTGCCGAAATTGAAATTGCAGATGAGGACGACGATGCGCTCCCTTATTGGAGGAATGAGCAACCGGGTTGCCGGGTTCACCGGCACCTTCTCCTCAGCGCCAATGAGATGCTTTTTCTCCCCCCTGCGGAGTGGAATGACTGCCTTTGTCTTCTTCTGGAGGCCTGGTGGTTTTGGTGAGTTGGAGGCTATCTCAGCGGTGCATAGCCCCGTTTCACCCTGGAGCGGTGCAAAGCTCCTGCCCAATAAAACAGGCTGCGTCCCCAGGGCCTCTCCCTCAAGCCTCCAGTCAGCGCTTGTTTTTGCACCATTTATTTAGTGTGACACATCTCCAATTAAACTGTGGAGGCTGCTGCATTCCCCCCCATAACTACCTCTTATACCTCCCCATAGACTTTCTGTCACACTGAGAGCGTGGGTATGAGGGAGAGAGAGAGAGAGAGAGAGAGAGAGAGAGAGAGAGAGAGAGAGAGA